CCCCCCACCCCATCCTTAAACCAGCCTGCCTTCCTTCACCTTGATTGCCCAGTCAAAGCTTGCACCGCTGCAGTGATTTCTCAAACCAAAAGTGAGTCCTAACTCACGAAACTTGACAGAACTTTGCATTCTGTCATGTTCTCCAGAGAACAATCCGTCCGTTTATTCAGGAAAAAGGGAAACGAGGTTCTCTGGGCGAAGGTGACTCCTGCTGATGGGATCAGACACAGATCTGCACCTGCAGTGCTCGAGGTGAGTTAGGGTGCAAAGTGAGCTGCAAAGAAGGCAGAGGGAGAGCATATTTAACTAAAAAAAATAGTTATAAACGCTTGACTTTCAGATGTTTACCAGTAGATTGTGTGTCAAACTCAAGAACCATGGGCCAAATGTGGCCTGCCACCGCATGTTTTGTGGCCCACGAGAGCTTAAAAGAGGTATTGATATCTTTAAATAAACATATGCTGTGTTGAAGCCAGAACTGACAATAAACTACATCTCCCATAATGCATGTTGATTATGTTACCTGTGAAAGTACACTAACCCACCACTAGGGGGAGATGTACAGGATCCAAAAGTAGCAGGCGGCTGGTGGAATTGCATCATAAAATCTACCTTTCACTAAATTTTTGCCGGCTTCATTCACTGCGGCACAGTTGTACTGGGAAATGGGTATTTCCCACTTACAAGTCGTACAATCAAACTGGAACGCCCCAAGAGTGGGAATTCCCTGTAAGAAGATGAGTTCGTAATTCAAGTCAGCAGCTCCTCACCACAACTCAACTCACTTACTTGTACTTTTAGTAGTACTTTTCAGTGTTTATAAGAGGACGTGTTAAAACACTGTTTCTATGCAGGAAATACAACATAGAGCTCAGTTTGTTAGTGGTGCAGGCTTAACAATGAGATATTTAGAAATTTTATTTGGCCCTCAGTGAAAATGAGTTTGACACTCCTGCGGTAGATGTTGCACAAATTTTATAAATGAAACATAAAACATATTTTTTTAATTTAGTTTCAATCGATCAGTGATTTAGCCATTCATTTATCTGCAAAACTAATATTTCCTTTCAGTAAAGTGAATTTAATGGTAAATATAAAACTCCTACATACATTTTATACATACACTAAAGTAATGCTGTGAAAAAATTCTTCAAAAGCAAAAAGTCAGAACCTGATGAATGTCAAACAAAAGACATACAAAACATATCTCTCCTATTTTGCCCCTGAATATATATTTTTATTTCCAGTCAACCATCAAAACAGCAAACATCTGAAGGCTTACGTTGAGACAAAAGAAAACATTTCCAGAGGTCTCTTTAAAAAAACAGCCTGATCAAAGAAGCTGTAAAAAAAACTGTTTTCTCCAACAGTAAATTCTATTTGCATGCACAATGAGTGCTCCATTATTTAATACCTCGTCTCAGTTATTTGAAAACAATGTGTCGTATTAGAGTATGTGACTAATGGCTGCAGCCAGACAGGGACATTAAAACTGCATCGTGCCACAAAAAGCTTTGTGTCATTAGTTTCAGTAATATGACAGGTTTTAAATCCTTCGGCGGTAATGGGATCTGGCTAATCAGAAATATTTCCTGTGCTGTACTCAGGTCAGTTTACTCAACTAACAAAAAAGCTCTTTGTTTTTTTGTGTGTCCCTTCCAACAGCAAGACTGAGGTTTTATTCCCACAGACATATCGTTTATATGAATAAACAAAAGGAATGTCACACAGATTCAACATTAAGGAGCGTTGAAGCTTGTTTGACAGTATTTGGTGACCCGTGGCCTCAGTTCTATATTTTTTATAGGTTTTCCTACAACATCTATCCCAGAGGCAAACTTGCAGACGCTACAACTAAAAAAAGGAAAGCGTTTGTTCGATCTGGAGGTTGTAAATGACCTCGGGGATGAGAGTCAGAAGCACAAAAAAAAACATTTTTTTAATGTAACATTGGAAGTCCTCCCTGCACAGTTTGACTGCGGCAAATTAGATCTGCTGTCTTTAGAAACAACCATGTTGCTAAGTGAGAGCGAGCAACAATGGTTTTAAACCACTTTATATAGAAATGGCTTGTTTAAAACTGTTAGTGGTTTTAAGTGTATGCAGGTCTGCTAAATGTGTCGGTCATCCTCCTCTCCCAGCTGTTATGTTTTTATCACAGCTGGAGGAGATGTATACCTGGAAAGTAATTAGATTAGAGATTGAATATTGACTCCAACAGAAAATACAAAAGAAAGCCGAATATTGGTAACGGTTTGCAGAATATATTTATTTTTATTGTAGTGCAGAAGAGACATTACTATTTTTTTGTCACTTGGCCACAAAGCACTAAAATATGTTGGTTAAAAATGGCAGTGTGCTTTAAATTTAACAACTTCTGAAAGGAAAAGAATAAAGGCTAAAACAACAAATGAGTGAATTACTCTTTCCATGAATATTTTGCTGTTTTCCATGAGTATTTTTTTCTGTTTTCCATGAGTATTTTTGCTTTTTTCGATGAGTATTTTATCTTTTTTCCATGAGTATTTTTTTCTGTTTTCCATGAGTATTTTTGCTTTTTTCCATGAGTATTTTTATCTTTTTCCATGAGTATTTTTATCTGTTTTCCATGAGTATTTTTGCTTTTTTCCATGAGTATTTT